AAGCCTAATCAGCCACCAGGATTTATTTTATTGTGATAACCGCACATCCTCTGTGAGAAAACATACAGGAAACTTCTTAATAGAAGTTCTAAGGCTTTGCTCAGACTGCAGGCATAACAGATTTGTTTCTCTAATCAGATATTAAATACAGACAGTCCGCGCTTTTAATCAGAAGTGTATGTCCAGACATCACCATCTACTCAGCATGGGTTGTTGTGGAAACAGCTGCTTTCCCACGCTCTGATGCACTTTCACTCTGGATTTGAGGTTGTTGGTGTGTGTAGCAGTCCAAGTGACTCAAAAGACACTCTGAAATCTGAAATCTGATCTTTAGTGCCAGATTGAAACACTTCATATCTAAACAAACAGCCATATATTTAGGTGTGATTTACAGTTTCCGTGGATGGATGTCATTATCTCAAACTGTTATATTCATCATCCATAAACCAGCTGAGTAATCACTGAAAAAAGATGCTCATTAAACTCCAAAACCTGCCTGAGAAGCATCACATTTCCTTTGAGTTTACTTTAGTATCAAAGTAATGCAGCGACAGTTCTCACAGGAACCGCTAATAGATCTATGGGCATACCTTTAACCGTGTTAATTAGCTGAAATGTAAATAAATAAAGGCCAGATGGAGATCACAGTTAAACATCAGGTGCAAATGACTGATGAATCTAAAATCCTACTCTCCAACAAATACAAACACACACAGTGTCACATGTCTGGAGCCGACACCTCCTGAATAACCCGACAAATGAGGATACGTTTGTGTTAGTCATCAGTGTGAAGCAGCTGATCAGTGCTGAGACGTCAGTAAAAAGTGTTTGTGTCAGCTCAGCGTCTGTCTGTGTGTGTGTGTGTGTGTGTGTGTGTATGTGTGTGTGTGTGTGTGTGTGTGTGTGTGTGGAGTGAGAAATATCACAGCCTAATACTAAAACCTAAAATTCAAACAGCGCTATTATTTTGGACCACGAATTCAACGTGTAGAGAAACAAACAGCCTGGGCTGAGCGATCAGACGGAGGGAGGGGAGTGATGAGGCAGAGTGGAGGGGAAGCGTGAGAAAAAAGGAGAAATTAGTTTACAGGAGAAGTGGAATGTTAAAAAGCAGTGGGTGGAGAAGAGACAAAGAGCAGAGAGAGAGGGGACGGAGAGAAAGAAAGTGGCCAGGACAGGGTGACAGACCATCAAAGGAAGTAGAAGAGAAAGAGACAGAGGAGGAAGAGAGAGAAAAGAGGAGGAGGTGGTGGACGGATGCGAGGAGACAGGTATAGGTTTGGACAGTTGGTTTTATAATAGTGGCCAGACACCCATTTGAGAGGTGAGACCAAAAACAGCCACTGTCAACTGTCCCTAACCTTTACCTTCATACGAGCAGTGGGGACTGGAAGAATGTGTGTGTGTGTGTGTGTGTGTGTGTGTAGTGTGCAAAGCCAATTCTGAGTGAGAGCAGGGGTAGGGTGGAGAAGAAATGCATTAAGAAAGCAGAGACGTTATCATGTACAAGGATACTTTCAGCTACTTAGAGCCTCTTTTGAACAAAATATGAGGCCAAACCTAAACAGAACACATCTGCATCTATTTTGACAAATGTATCAATCCACACTGACTCTGAAAGTACCTTCACAGCACATTTGTAAATTATGAGGTCTCTACTGAAATCACCTGGAAACCCCAGAGTGGATGGTAAGTCATTTCAGTGTGTAGGATTTAGCAGCATTAAGTGGTGTAATTTGTAAAAAAAGTCAAAGTTGTGAAATGTGCCTTTAAGATGCCACTGGTTGGCCTAGATACAAGAGAAACGTCATCAGACAGCAGCTAACCTGTTTC